GTCGAAGAGCCGCTTCTTGGTTATCTAGGCAGATGGTTAAGTTGGTTGCATAGAAGGCCATGGGATTGTGAAGGGCAGCTTCTAGCCCCTCTGTTGCTCCGGAAATTTCCGCGTCGTATACCTCTGCTGAGGCACCTAGAGGGATGGTTCCACGGGCAATCTCATGGTTCATGCCGCGTCGAATTGAATATCCAGCTCCTGCTTGATTCTCAATCAGAGCGCCGTCGGAGAAAACAAAAAGGTCCATCATGGATTGTCGGGCGTACCATTGAGTAAAGGAATAGACTCCCGCTGTTCGGCCAACAGCGCCTATCTTTTCCAAACATTCATCACGTCCGGCTTCCCAAGGGGGAGGGATGTTATCTTCTGAGAGCTCCGGGGAAATCCTTTGTCGGATTCCGCACATTCTCGAAGAATTCCACCGTCTACGAAGAGGGTGTCTAGGATCTGCTGCTGCAGTGCGGAGGGCGAGGCGATCATGTATGCGCTCAAGCCAGGCTTTTGCGGGCCCCCAACCTGTTTCACGCAGAAGAACAGCTATTGGTGTAGTACGGTATACAGGAAGTGCTGCGCGAGCAGCATCGTTCATCCGTTGTTGTATCCGAAGGACCAGTGCTTTCGGAGTTCCTTCGGAATACCATGTCTCAGCTCCGTAGAGCAAGGTCGCAAAAGCTGCTCCTTGGAGCGCTTGCCTCAAAAGAAGAGGGCTCATTCCTCGGGTGACTCTCGAAAGACTTTTAATGTGACTTGTAACAGCCAAGGATCTTCCACAGGCTTGTCTGACATGTTCTCTGAACCGAAGGCTTCGATCGAAGATGACCCCGAGCCAGCGCGTGTGGGCGTTTGGTGTGATCTCGACCCCATCCGCATATACGCTGGGTTCTAGTGGAGGTCCATGTTTTCGGTGAAAATATTGTAGTTCCGTTTTTGAGACTTCGAGAGCAATGCCGTTCTCAAGTCCCCAGGCGAGGGTCATATCTAACTGCGTCTGAAGTAACTCTCCGCAGCGAGCGAGAGTCGGTGCGGACGCCAGAAATGCAACGTCGTCTGCATAGCCGAAACGCTTTGGGGAGAGGTGGAGCATACCTTCAATTGCCAATAGAAATAAGATAGGTGAAGCTGGGGATCCTTGAGGGAGTCCGCAGTGTATCTTAAACGCCGGAGATATGGTTCCATCCAGTGTGATTGAGGCCTCTCGCTCAGACATGAAAGAGGACACCCACTGTACCACATTGAATGGCCATCCTTGACCCCGTAGGCAATGACACAGGCGGCCTTTTTGTATTCCATCAAATGCACCTTTGACATCTACAGTGACTATTCCGGCTACATGTTTTTTGGCCCAGGCATCCTGGATATCGCACGACAATGCAGTGGTGAGATCGGTAGCTGATCTCCGAGGAACTGCACTACACTGATCACGGGAAAGAATCTGATGACTCAGTGCTAGAAATGAGAGACGACGCGCGACAAGTCTCTCCAATCCCTTGCCAAGGCACGATAGAAGAGCGATAGGGCGGTAAGATAATGGGAGAGCTCGGTTGCGATTTCCCGACTTTGGTATTATAACTACATTAGCCTTCTTAAAAACGATAGGGTGTATCCCCCACTTATCGCATTGACGGAATAAGGAGATTATTCGGGGCCCAATTATTGGCCAGGCGCGCCGAAGAACTGTTGCGGTAATATTGTCAGGCCCAGGAGCGGATGTCGGGACAATGCAGCACGATTTGTAGATCTCTACGTCTGTCAGCGGAGGCCATGTAATACACCTTTTTGCCACTGTAGGGGTTGCGTCGTCAATGTCTCTTTGACTAAGATGACGACTAAGGAGAACATCCTGAAAGAGCTGCGCCTTCTCTGATGGGTGAAAAATTGGGCCCACAGGTCCCTCTAGAGGTGGAGTGTGGTAGTGAGCCTCTCTCTTGTGCCAGCGCGTGACTTGTTAGGCCTCCTTGAGATTGGAAACTTGTTCTACCTTGTTGTACCAGAAGGCCCGCTTTGATTTCCTCACTACTTTTCCAAAGGCACGACGTTCGGGGGTTGCTGGTAGACCCGCACGACGGGCCCTGCAGAAGTTAAGATGAGCCTGAGTGCACTCCTTATTCCACCAGCCAGCTTTTGTTGCTTGTTTACGAGTCCTTGGACAGGCAACTAGGAGAGCTCCTGCGATGATATCGACAATTGTGGCAGCCTCTTCTTCAATGTTAAAGGAAGGAGGGGTTGCCAGCTGGTTCGTCACGACATCTTGAAATATTTCCCAATTACAGGCGGCGAATTGAAGCTTACCCAGTACAGGTTTCTCGGCTTCCCAATCGAATACTTGACAGAGGATTGTCCTATGATCAGAGCCGACTTCCAGATCTTGTCGAATTTCGCAAGAAGCGGTCACATTTTTCCGGACAAAACAGAGATCAAGAGCAGCCCCGGCGTCATGTGTAGGAGCTCCCTGGTGATTCAGAAGTCTGAGCCCCCTCGAGGCTGTCCAGGAGAGAAGAGAGTCGCCTTCGACACTGTCACTCCTAGCTTTTGGATCCCAGGACAAGTGGTGGATGTTAAAGTCCCCTGCAAGTATATCCGGGTTTCCAGTGCAGGTCATTAGTTGTTGAAGGCCCTCTCCGGAGCCAATTGCTCCGACTGGAGCGTTATAAATATTCCAGCATTCAGTGACTTGTTTATTCCTTCGTGAAATCCGGACTCGCAGGAGATCCCGAGAATGTATGGCTGATTGGAAGGGAGATAAACCTCGCCCCTTGCGGACGTACGTCATTACTCGAGGCCGGATTGTCCAGTTAGGAAGAGGAGAGAAGCCTTGGAAGCCCGGGTGGGTTTTTGTTATTCTACGAGTTAAGTCTGTGTAAATCCAAGGTTCTTGGATTAGTACCACATCAGCTCCACATTCGGAGGCAAGTTCTAGGGCGGCATCGTGAGCAGGGCCACGTCTACCTACATTGACCTGGAAGAAGCAGAGACCTGTAGTCTTCTGTCTTCTTCGACCCCGGTTTCGGTCCCTCATTGTTCCTCCTCAAGGGAAATCAGGGGAGCAAACCTAGATGCCGAGCCTACTGTTAGAGCAGGGGCTGGAATCGTGGTGTGCGAGGGTTGTGCCGATGGAGACCCAGTGAGGGTGCCAGAAGGGGGCGGGAGGGGATTAAGAGCGAGCCAGGACTTGTGTCCCTCCTGGCGCATAATCCGTGTTCTTTCCTTGTCAGGGCGAACGAATACTCCGTTAGCTCGGAACGGTCGAGCCGGGCAGCCGGGGGATGAGGCCACATGTGGGCCAGCACAGTTAAGACATTTGATAGGCGTAACACAAGGTCCGTTGTGGAAGTCTGCTGCGCAGAGTCCACACCGAGCTCGGCGGGTGCAAGCATTGATATTGTGAAAGCCGTGGCAGCGAGGGCAGACCTGGAGGCGTGGACGATTATCAGCAGGGCGAATTTTGGCGGATCGTGCGAAAATTCGAACGCTGGAAGGGAGCTTATCTGCTGCTGGCTTTGCGACTACTAGTCGTAGAGTCCCTTCCCATTCAGGGGACGCAAGAGAATTACGTGTCCAGCTAATGGAAAAAATCGATTTTACGTCGATTTTTGCCGCTGCTAGTTCTTCCCGGATGTCGGAATCAGAGAGGGCTTCAGGAGATCCGGAAGCGTTGTACCCATATTTGGGGACTGGACTGAGGAGGAAATTCTCTCGTTTTTCCTGTCTTTCGATTGGCACAACTCCTGTGGCGGCTTGCAAGGCAATGGCTGCTTGCATGAGCTCGGGAGTTTGATCAGGTGAGGGGGCCACGAGGGCTATTCCAGATGGGACCGACCTGATGTCTTTGATCAGTTCTGGTTTTTCGAGCAGGCTTCTCAGCCTTGTACGGACCAAAAGAGAGTCTTGGTATCGTAGAGGGTGGTCGGGCGCTAGGCGTATCATAACTCTAGAGTCCGGCCTTTGTTTTTTAGTCGCGGGGGGGGCCCTAGATGTGGTCTTTGGTGGTTGTGTCGGGACGGTCAGGTTTTTCTTCGCAGCATTTGCGTAAGTAGTAGCCTTTGGCGGCTCCGCTAGTGGGTCTAGCCGCGCGCTGACTTTTATATTGGGAGCAGCTTGAGACTGCTCGAAGACAGGAAGGCCTGCAATTACTCGAGCTGCGCTTCGTGTCACAATAGCCTTAAGATCCGCTGCGATTGTTGGCGGAAGGGCCCGTAGGTGTTGGGCTCCAGCATTTTGCCAGGCCAACAATGAAGCTGCAATGTCATTTGTCATAGCAGCCGTGGGGTGTTCGATAATTCGCGAAGTTGTACGCGCGCCAGATCGAGGAAGAGTTGAGGTAGGGTTCTTCTCTTTTGCGACATTGTCCTTTATGGACGCGTGTATGGAGCTGTAAAGACCCTGCCTGGGATTTCTTTTCATTATGTTTTTTGGGGGAGGCTGTTGAGTGGCCATTGCTTGTTCGGGAGAAGGCGTCGGTGGAAGAAAAAGGTTTTCAGAGGGGGGGTTGGAGGAACATTCAGTTTCCAATCCGGGGTCCATGAACTCGTCTTCTGAGTCCATGTCGATGGGTTCAGCTTCGCGTTGTTCTATCGTAGCTGGGTTTACTAGACATACTTCCTCCTGGATAGCAGGGAGCGATTGACGAAGTCTCGCACGTTTTGCGGCGCGCGAGGCAGCTCGAATGGGTGGCACAAGTGTCGCAGGGTTTTTTCGCCTCCTGTGGGGCATCTTATCGACCTGGGAAGATCAAGGATCTCGAGCTAGAGTAGGCGGATGTTATTAAAAAAGTTGTAAACAAAATGTCGGACTATGACCCATCTACCTGTGTCACGTCTAAATAGATGTTAGGCTCGTCCTATCACGTTAAAGATTTCAAATTCAAATGAAGTAGGAAAATGGTTGTTGTGTGCCTCGGCAGGTGAGGAAGGTCAATTATTCCGGCTACATTTCATTTGACACGTGATATATTTTACGCCTTAGGAGCTTCCAAACGTGCAGCAGGGTGTAAAGAGTCAAATATGAATGGGCGGTCGTTGGTTCGTCTGCCATCATGGCTCTTTCTATCGGCCATCTTTATATTTGGTTGCTTTGCATCTTACGGTGATCGTCTGCCAGAATTTCAGCAATGTGTTCAGGTAAGCAAATGATGCTCTTCAAAAAACCTCGCACTAATTGAAAAGACCTGTACAATGGAGAACTGTCATGGCGGATCATCCTCGATCTGTAGGCATATCCTGAGTTAAATATGGATCTAACCTATTCAGCTGTGCTTCACCGAATCTTACTCTGGAACTGTGACTCCGAATGCGACTACACCTGTCAACATATCATCACTGCTGAACGCACTTCAGCCTCCAAGCCGGTAGTTCAATTTCATGGAAAGTGGCCTTTCTACCGCTTTCTCGGCATTCAAGAGCCCTTTTCAGTTCTGTTCTCCTTCCTCAATCTTCTTGCTCATCAAAAAGGCCTGTCCAAGCTTGTGAACTACATTCCTGCTTCCTATCCAATGCGCAGATATTACATCATGTTTGCATATATTGGTATGGCTAGTTGGACATTCAGTATACTGTTTCATACCCGAGACTTTAAGTTAACAGAGCAGTTGGACTATTTTGCTGCTGGTGGCAGCATCTTGTATGGACTCTATTATACACCTATAAGAATCTTCAGAATGGATCAAGGGATAAAAGAAAAGAGTTCACTTTTACGAGCATGGACTAGTTTTTGCATCATCATGTACGTGGTCCACGTTGCCTACCTAAAGCTTTACCGATGGGACTACACTTACAACATGGCCGCAAATGTTGTCGTTGGGGTAATACACAACGCTATGTGGAGCTGGTTTAGCCTCAAAAGATACCGAAAATTAGGAGAATTCTGGGCAACATGGCCAGGAATTGCTGTGGCATGGATATTGATGGCCATGAGTTTGGAGCTGCTAGACTTTCCACCATTATGGGGTTGTTTGGATGCTCATAGTCTTTGGCACATGGGTACTATCGGGCCAACCATACTATGGTACAAGTTTGTCTTTCAAATCCAGACCTAAAACTTATCTCACTAACATTCTTAGTTTTCTGCTTAAAGATGCTGAGGAGGATATGGCGACTCATCGGCTCAAGGCTTAGGGAAAAATATTGCAAAGCGAGAACACGTAAGTTTTCATTCAGCAAAGTATCATACCCATGTAAGATTCTTCAGTATAGAAATAAATAATGTGCGGAATGGAATTATCTTGATTAAGGCCCAATCTGGCATTGAGATAACCACAAGTTTATTGGAATAAACAATGTTCGAAAGTCGGAATTCCGAAGTATCTCACTCTAAATTATTAAATTAATCATTTGAATTTGAATTTGATTTCTTTATCCTGATTTGGCGCTCTATGGGCCCATGCAGGTGTCTACAGTCTATAATATTTACCCGGGAGGAAACCTTTATGGTGAAAACCTCCCACATCTTTCTATTTGTTGTCTATAGTTCTCACAAATTTTCTTCAGGAAGCGCAGTTACACTATATTGCCATCCATGTAAACCAACCAGATTATCTCTATCCGCCCCAAGCATTATTTGATCTTTTCCTTTCCCTCAGCAGCATTTCGACCGCCTGTGTCACTTGAAATTGCTCTATCCAACCATGGTTTAGGATCCACTGTGTTATCCTTTTTATATCTCCAGGATTGTTTATCTTCGCTTCGTAGGATCGATCTTTCGCTCGTCTCCAGGTCTCAGCTCTACCATTTGACCATTGGGGGCAGGACATAATCATATGCTTGGGGTTCTGTGATTGGTAGCCACATGGACAGCCTGGACTGTAGACTCCGGGTACGTTTCTTCTGTGTAAATACGGGTTAAACCCCATAAATTAATCATTAATTATAATTATATATCACCTAATGAGGAATAAAAATTAGGAGTCATAAGACCTACCAAATTTAACTGATCTTAACATTTTTAAAGAGACTATAAAATATTGTAATAGCACGAATCATCCATATAAATCACGTGGTATATAATTTGGGCTGAAGCAATGTAATAGTCTAAGATATTACGACTAAGCCGACATGCAATGGGGGCATTGATTGCAGCTCGTTCTGGACACGTAGATTTCGCCCCATACCATCGATGTTCTGCACACGAAGATGCCCTGATGACTTGCACCTGTGGCCAAGAAAAAAGCCTAGATCACTTCTATTGCAGTCTAGGAAGAAACCGTGCCCATCTTTGCGGTGGACCTCGACATTCCAACCCTGGCATCAGATGGACACTCGGCACGCCTGAAAGCGCCCTAGCCTTCGGAAAGTGGGTCGAGCAGACGAAGTTCTACCGCAAAGTTCAACGTGCCCACTAGATCCCCCCTGTGAAAGAAAGTTTTTTTGTGGTAAACTAATGTTGGATTGAAGGACTCACAATCTTCTCTTTCGTAGCGTTTTCTTAATTCATTGTACAGCCTGTGAGCGTAATTCCAAACTACTTGTAAATCAGATGTAAACTTCCTGGTAGATAGAAATTTGCTATATTTAGATTAGAAATGAGAGTGGGGGACAGCAGGTCGAGCTCTTTTGTAGTTTTTGGGTGCTTTATGTCAGGGTAATGGTCATAGGATAGATTGACGATGTCTAATCTGGTGATTGAGATTGTGTACAAAGAGTAAACGTGACTCCTATCGAGCCTTATAAATATATATACATCGTGAATCGCGCATCAGACGCGTGATAGCATGTGACCATATGATACCGCAATCCCCTCCATTCCTTGACAGTAGTTGTCAGGATAGCCTCCCGTCGGATCTCCACCTTTAGATCCGAGAGCTTGAATCGGACTTTCTGGAAACTCCCATTGTAGGCCCAGAATGAATGGCATGTAACTCTTTGGAATGAAGCATGCTCATTGTTAAAGTTAACGTTTGAAGCTCTTTCAATTGGCCAGTCCCGTGTTAAGTAAGAGCCAGTGCACTCGCTTAACAAGATTTTATTTCCACACTACGCTTGTGTTTATCCCTATTGACAGTGGTTGTAAGACTTTTTTGGTTGTGCCTTGGGAGACTACACTTGTGCCGAGTAAAGCATGGCATTGATGGCAATCCCGTTTCAGACTTCTTCTCACTGCGAAGCCTCCGTGTAGAGGCTTACAATTATCAACGAACTTGTGACACAAATTTTATGTTCTGTTCAAGCTCCTTTCCAAGGAGCATCCATCTCGTTATGCTTATCTAAGTCATGGAATGCAGAATCTTAAAGACATCTAGATCCTCCTGATGTGATTTTTTATTAGACAATTTGTATCCTTGCATTTTAGTCCACGACAGTACTCCGCACACTCTCACGGGAAAATCTCACCGTAGGTTCTAAAAGTCCTCTAGCACTATCAAATTAAGAGCCGTATCTATTTGTTTCACCGATTCAATAAATACCTCAGTGTCGATGCCCAGAGCCTGGCGTACTGAATTAGTCTGCGGGACATATCTTTGTGTCTTTATTAGCAGCTCTATTGACTGACTGTCTTTGCCTCCTCTACGCGTATTTTAGCCCCTGTTTTGACCATCGGCAGCATTACTACAGACACGTATATTCTTGAGGGCGGCGGTTCTGAGACTGTTGTAGGGCCTGCCTTTCGAATGAGACCCACTAGTCTCTCCTTGACCGCTTCATCAAGAGCCAACATTTTTTCTTCAATGTGAGGTCTAACATTCTGTATATCCTTCTATTCACTGCCATGTATATTAAAACCCTTACGGCATCCAGAGAATCCTTTGTTGTGATGTTCATGCCATCATCGTCTTCGTCAAAGTATAAGATCCTAAGATTTTTAATTATTTTCCATTGGATTTCCATGTGTTAATCGATAGGGACTGTTTGAACTCCACGAGCTTGGTTTATTTGAACCGCTATTGCACTTTGCAACGCATTAGGACGGCTAGAACTGACCGTAGCCCTGCTCACATCCACTATGTTGTAGCATTGAGAATTTTTCGATAGAAATGAAGTATATATAGGGTAAAGATTCTATTTACAAAGCCAAATTAATGAATAAGGCCGCTTGGATCGCTGCGCAGCTTTCTGGCCAAAATGGAGTTTTCTGTTACTTTTTCATAATTGTTGCTGTTGTAACTTTGATCCTGATTGTGGCCGATTTACTTAGAATTCTTGAAAAGAGACCTATTTTTGATAACTTCTATTAAGATAGTTTGGCTCCTTTTAAAGACCACTATAGCTACTGTATATTGGTGAAAAATTAAAATGAAAATGGGACCGTAGTCGCAATACAAACATATATTGTTTAGAAAAGTCCCCAAAATGCTGAACTGTTTTTTCTATATCTGAGAGAAATTCAATCTGCTTGTCCTGCCTCGTGTCGCTTAGTAATTCTTGTCTATTAGTTGCTCATATTTTATCGTATTTCTAATTTTGAAACCCTTATGATATTTTGCATTCTTGGTGAGGTAGTCTACTCTCAAAACAAGCAGCCGAAAGCTCTCCAAGACTGTATTTGTAATTGCTTGTGGAAACGTAGTGTAGAATTCTTGTTATTCTCACATTAATTTCCATGATAACGTTTGAGTGATAGGGTCTGCATTTTTCTAGGATTTCTGTTGCTGTAATGTATCAGCTTGGACTGGTTGAAAAACATACATTTTAGTTCTATCCTATAACATCCTTTGCTCCAAAACTCGAGTGTAGTTAAACCACTCAGGAAGCTCACCAAATTTAACATTATGATTTCATTTCCTCTTCATTGAGATATTGCACAAGTAAATCAAGTCTTTAGTCAAAAGTGAAATGTTTTTTCGGATAGATTGTGGATTAGATGATCAGATAGTATTTGCATTTAAGACGCTGTTATGTGTAGAACTAGAATAAATTAACACATTAATACTAGTATCAACCACGAGAATCATTCTTGATTGACGAACATCGGCATGAACAAATTGAAATATTAATTTTGGGAGTTGAAGGACAATCCTTGATCCACTTGTTACGACAGCCTGGAAAACTTAATTGACTTTTTGGTGGCTTAACCGGCATGTTCTTGCGAGGAAATTTATCTATTAATAGTTCCTTTTTATACGCGTCACCTCATCAAATTTAAAAATTTCCCCGATTGAATGGTTAGATGTCAGCCACACCACACTCTTTGATATTATTTGGATAGATACGACCTGATACCTTCTACATTAATTCTTCAATCTTAATACGCGATCTTAATTTGTCTCTTTAACCCTTATCAAGTCACGCAAGTTGGTACAAGCGTATCGAACTGCTATTAAGTTTACCTTAACCAACCACCTACTACTTCAAAAATGTCTTTACATGAGGCTCAGGATGTCGAAATGCCAGATACTCTTCCAGAGAATGTTACGCAGGACTTAGGACAAGAGAATTCATTTGACGGTAAAGCCGTGATATCTAATACTAATCCAAAACAAAATGAATCGGCAATTAGATTTGACGGGAGAGATGACAGCTCGTCTGTTCCTTCAATGACATTAGCTGCATCTAAAGATAGTGAACCATCAGCTTTATTACGCACAAAGAAGTCGAATAAAATGGCACCCTCTCAACCGCAAAACAACTCATCAAATCTACAAGCGTCTGCTAGTTCGGACCAGCCCTTTCACGATGCAGAAAATATGATTCAAAATGAGGTTGAGAGACTCAAAGAAGTCTTGTTAGATGTATCCCCAAAGGCTGCCCAGAAGGTATTGAGAGAGATGTGGCGTGTCTTCATGTTTGCAGAGTTAGATGAAGATCATGTTTCATTTCTATTACGTGCTGGTTTAAAGAATGCCAATTCGTCAATATTGAGTAGAGTCTTTCGAGATGAGTCCTTATACAGAGGTCAGATGCTCGAATTTATTTGCAGGAAGGGTCAGACTATAGCACGGGTTCTCCAGACTGCAACTTCCAATCAACTTACTTCACTTGTTCCTGAAAGCGTGCTCGATGATGCAATCGCTGAACGACTCAAATACGTGTCTGCTAGAGACATTGTTAACTGGCTTGCTTCAGCTCAACGCCTTGGATATCGGTGTGAAGATATCATTAATGAAAATGATGAGTCTGTTGTTCCTTTTGACATACATCGAGTTGCACCTTATTCTGTTCGACAGAACGAAACAGTCCAAAATTTGGTGAACCCAGCTCCACCCAACAACTCATATCTCGGACAACAACCAAACAATTCTCAGTATCCAAAAGATCTGACGAATGTAGGAACAACAGTCAGTAAACCTAGTCAGCAAGCTCTTCAAACATCAGAATATCAAAATTATCAAGCAGTGGAAGAAGCACCTCGAGGAGTAGACCCGTTGAAAAATAAACAGCTGCGCAACCAAACTGCGGAATCATTATTACGTACACAATCACCTTCGCAAGCGAATGAAGGGCAAACATTAGCAACAAAGGCCTCCTCACAGAGCGTGCAAAAGTCTGATCTAATATGTCCTTGCTGTTCATGTTCGCTTCCAAATCTCATGGCTTTTGCTTCCCATCTAAGGGAAAAATCTTGTGTAAAACAAATAACTGAAAATAACCGGAAATTTATTCCCAGCCATTACCAACCTACTATGTCAAGTAGAAATACTTCACAAACTCCATCCTATACTCATCAGACGGTTGACCAATCACCTCAAACAAACCTTGCAAATCATGCTGATAATTACCTTGCGTCATCTCAAAGGTCGACGCCGAGTCTTGAACACCCTCAATCCCAAAAATCAGCACCTGATCTTCAAACTATCAGTAATCTATACCCATTGACTAATGAAAATGTAGGAATTCACACTTTGACCCCTGCACAGCTAAACCAAAATTTCCAAGGCCCGACTCAACCTCAGCAGCCTTTAACGTTCACTCCTTCGGGTAGTCCTATGCCTTGGTCTTGGTCGCAAAAGATGCCACAAGGCGTTCAAGCAACCCAAAAAAATACCAAAAACCAATCCACATTTTCCGAAAAAAACTTAAGTCCCCAGTTATCGGGGACCGAGATTCCGATCGAAAAATTAATCGCCATGGAGGGTGAAATTAAACAAATCGAGGATAACTTGAAACACGAAATTGCAAGAATACCTGTTGAGTGGCAGCATGATCAACGCCAAGCCAGAATACATTCATTAAAAAGTATGGCATCCAATAAAAAAACTGGCATCCGGAAGTCCTATGGCGTGTCTCTAAAATCCCACAAACTGGCTAGAAAAGCTATCAATCAATCTTCGACCAAATCTAACTATGGCCATGCGAGAACTTTACTCATTGCCAATTCTAGTAACTCTCAATATTCTGGCTCCAATTCCAATAGCCAAAATTCTTCTGAAGCACATGGAACCTATCTTATGCGACAAGTAGATTCACCAAACGTGCAGATTACACATCCCGGCAGAGATGTTGATAATTCTCAGTCCTATGAGTCCCCAAATTCAATCATACCAAATATTAACACCGATGAGCGAAAAAATAGTAAAGGAAATGCAGAAAGCAGTATTATAAAGGAAAGCCCGAAGAACACACAAGAAATAGAGTCCAACCAAAATATAGATCTACAAGTTATAAAACATATCAGAAATGATCTTGAGAATCCCAATGAAGCTTCCAATTCTGATGAAAGAGTCATACCGGAGACTGGGTTGATTGAAAACAATTTTCAAGATTCTGATATTCAAACAGTCAGCATCGAAGCCAATTCTATTTTAGATTCAAAGACAATTTCTAAAGACACAAAAGAAATCTCTGATCCCGAAATAATCGAGGTCAGCGACATACTCGTGACTGATTTAACTTCGAACTTAGAAGATAACGACAAGATTCATCCACCAGATCCAAAGTGCATCGAAGGACCTTCTAAAACCAATGATAAATTAAAAATTTTACCAGAGCAAGAGTACACAATTCCTAGTCCCGAAAAGGAGATAAAGACTAGAGATAATAATGAATAGTGAAAATAATAAATATAAATTTACATCACTGACACCTTGTTTATATCTTTTCACAATGATATGGTCAGTTAAATCCTACACGCAACTTACCTTGGATGATTGTGAGAAGCATTGAAGCTTATCCTAAGACAAATGCCTTGTGGAAACCATTGAGATGAAAAATATGGATACCGAATCACATCTATTTATATCATGACCTTTCTGAGTGTACGCCATGCTACCATTCAAAAGAAATGATAGCTATGAGTTATATAAACAATTAGAATAGATCTGAAGGATATATAGTTTTAATAACCACTGTATTTGCAAGGAAATGGCCCAATTAAACGAAAATGGAATGGTAATTGATTAAATGTTCTTTTACACTCCCTCACTCATCTTTTTACGTCTCATTCATCCTAAATTTCATCATGTTAGACAAAAAGCTGATGAATAACGGTAGAGTTACAGCAAAAATTGCGCCAGAAATTGGGTCTAGCTGAAGCTATTATCAGGAAATATCAAATAATACATTCAGCTTTAAGAGGCTCTTAACCAATCATAATTACAATTGAGCATGAAGAGGTCTTTCAAATACCCATTGGTTTTCAGCATAAACTGACACTCACAATACATCTATCGTTACTCTAAAATACCCCCAGAAAAGATTTACCACGAGTGTAAAATATTTCGCTCGGCATGTGTAACTCTACTCTAGAAGTTGATTAAATTTCTCGAGTACTAAATCCCTCCAAGCGAAGCTACCAACATTGGCAATCCTTGTTAGTCTCGAGTGTCTTGAGGTAGGTGTGGATCCTGAAAATCAGTCCTACGGACTGATTGATAAACTTTTAAAAGTTACTCTCTATCCGAGAGTATTCGAGCAATATCGGGCCACACAATTATCAACTTCTACCTTGGGAAGTAACAAGATTTAAAATTTGAATCCTCAGACTCGTGTTCGGAGTTTATAGAATTTCGTTAAGGCTTTTTTACAGATTGTAGGGGCTTCTCGCAATAAAAGAGAATGGTTCGTGTACAAGTCCCAGAGAAAGGAGTTATTACCGTTCAAATTGAAAGGAGTCGTAGGAAAAGACTTACATAATGGAGCGAATTCAAGCACCAATGGGTCCCGTATGAAGGTTGATTTATTTTTAGCTATTATACTAATAGCAGAAATATTTTCTTTTTCACATGCCTCCCTAGTTTCAGCGATGGCTAAATTTATTTGAGTGGCTTCCAAATACAATCTATTATCTTCAAAAGCAATATCAAGCTTTCAATAGGAAAACATGTTACCCCTACGTAGAGCTTATATTATTTTCTCATCTTGTTCCATATCCTTTACAGTTGCAGCCGCTTCTATGACTGTATCAAATTTCACTAGTGTTGGTACTTTTACGGTGCCAAGTCTCTCTGATTATCTCGATGTCATTATATTAACACGACTAGAATTGGCTTCTTAAGTTAATTTTGTGCTTTCCAAGTTTGCGGTACACGAGAGAAGTATTCTCTTTGATCTCCATCATCTTCACCTTATGACTGGACCCCAGCCCCTAAGTCGACGAAGGTGACCTGCTTGAATTAAATTTAATCATTTAACGTACCAGGCTAAAGCCTTACATCCCTGAGGTATGACACGGGTACATGTTCCTGGAGGACACACTACTACCATGGGAGCTGACAATATTTTGTTGTAATTGTACAGTTCTCCACAGCACTGATGCGTATCATATCTGTGCACTATTATATGTAACTATTCACTCTCTGGTATCATAATTTATTGCTTATTTACAGATATTTTATTTCCGTGGCTTAGTTGCCGAGTATCCACTAAACTAAACACTAGCCAACATTCAGATATCGTTGCCAAGTTGAGAAATCGGCACGTATTGCATTAGTAATTCTAATTTAAGTTGTGTATACACATGTAGTCTCTTCTTCCTTTGGAGATCTTCAGTAAATTTAATGGATTAAATATCTACGAGACTGATATTCCACTTTCTTTCGTCAACTTCCATAGATTCACTCTCTAAGCTCCATTCACCTACTTCTGTGCACAAATACCACTCTTCTCCTTATAACAGTCTTTCCATCACGCTCGACCTTTAATATCACAGGACGCTTTCCTAGAAATTTGAATGTTTGAGAAACATAATTATCAAGGGAAGTCTTGCTATTCTGAATCAACATCCTGTTCTTAGCTAGCTCCCTCGCAACAGTTTACCTGCTACATATGTATCACGGAAAATCTCGAACCTTCTAGGATGACTCTGGTCCCCTTAATATCCCATCTCGGTTAGAAATCGATAGAGTCCCACCAATGTCTTCCCTTCCAACAGCGCCCATCAGTTTGACGCTATTTCCTGTGTAGTGCTTCGTCATAGTCTTAGCGCTTTCTAGCATTCCGAAAAATGCCACAGACGTCTTGTCCATATTTGTACCCGCATTCTATTCCTTCGTGATAAAAACTTCCATGATACTTGTAGAAGTTTTCATGACCAGTTCTATCCGCAATCAGATGATGATACAACAATCACAGCAGAGCCAGCTCTGCTGATAGCTTTTGATTCATCATCAAGCCCAGATCTTTGCATCAACTGGGTCTATTCTCTCGCCACTAAGATTCCACAACCTTTTCAGTATGTTCTCTCATATCAGTTCTCACAGTTCTAATATACAAATCAAATGGGAATTTGTATGATTGAAATGTAAAGCTACAATTAATATGTTGATAAGCAAACTGTCTGTGAGCCTTCTGTGCTACTTATACCAATTCAGAGGTTTCTAAACGCGCAATTCCCAAATCCTACCACGAAATAACGACAGAAAATTTGAATGACGCGAACGAGTTTCTCCCAAGAGAACTCGCCCAGATTTTCGAAGAACGACAGTGTCGTGAACTGGCATAGCACGCTCGTATAATGATGTGTATCTACGCAATTAGCAGTATCTAGGGTGCTCTCTCAGGCTTTATGAAGGATATCTAAAAGGACAAGGCTACGGCAATCCGTGATGACCTCTGCTAGGCTATTTCAAAATACGCAGCCTCAGAAGCAGCCTCTCCTCCTCCTATCTCCTCAAACTCTTGACCAGTTTCAAGCAGGGCAAAAGGCAAGGATAAAGACCAAACAAACAAAGTTGGCACTACAGCGTCAACTACAACGACTAAGCCCTCTAAGGAACCTCTCCAACTGCCTAGCAAACCGGTAAACACCAAGCTTTCTTGGGCGACAGCTACTCGTAACGGCCACAAAAAAGCTCACGCCACTGCTACGAGTGAGTCACTGCCAATGACGACGAAATTCGAGCAAGTAGCTCCTCAAAAAGAGCTCATTAGACCTTGGCCTACCACTCGCAAACACGCAAAAATGGAAAGACTCAACCCCTTATCAACCTTGATAAAAGGTTATATATTCGCCTAACACGCCATCATGAGTGGCGAAGACAATCACCTGCTGATATCCTGGAGGTAGTGGTGAAGTGACTTTCGGTATTGCCATCACTTATCGGTAGGATCAAAGCGGTTAAATTAGTGTTTGCTTTAACTCCTTGTAGCAACGAGGCACGAGAAGAACTCACAGAGCCGAAAATGTGCTCTTCTTGTCTGGAGCAAAGCTTGAACCAGTGAAGAGCTGGGTACCTATCCTAATTCCAACTGTCCCGGCAGCTATATGAACGCTTGAGGGACGACTTGAAGTACATGAGTCCATTCTAACTGTTGTGATCGAGAGAATAAATAAAATGAGGCCCTCTGCTGTGAAACTTTTCGGAAAGAATAACCCCTCCACGCCCCATAGAACCTAGATGGCTTTCTTCTCCAAATCGCCTCGACCTAGTTTCAGGGTCTTTTATGAATCTGGTTTTGCCAGGCCATTCAAGACGCAAGAGCTCCTTGAGTTCTGTAAGCGATTGCAGCAGCCATCACCCTTCAAGTAATTGCTCCGGGCACCATCTTGTGGGAACTGTGGCTCAACTATACACACTGAAGATTCATGTCAGGCTCTGACTAAACGCAGGAATTGTGGGGGCTCCCATAGATCTGACAGCTCCAGATATCTGACCTATCCAGCAAGAACTAGTGGACCATCAAAACAGCAATTGAAACCCTACCGAGATGCAGGAGAGCGAGAATTCCAAGCTCTCGCTAGAGTAAGAGAGGCAGAGGCTAAAGCTGCCTCCGCTGAGGCATCGATTCATAACTCTACAACTGGTCAAATTCCAACCCCAGACGCTGGAGTGGCAGCAGCATTACTCATGGAGAACCCGACAGATGATGCAAGGCATTTGTGAAGGGCGACCAACAGAGTCGTCATGCCCCCAACAGATTCTTCGATTTATGTCAATAAATGTTGGAAGAGGGGGGAACAACACACGGTATCGCGCTAGACCCTGCATGCGAGCTTCAACTAGATGTCTTGCTTATACAGGAGCCATGGTGGCGTGGGCATACTAAGGCACTTCCCTATTTCAATGTCCACATACCGCACAATGGCATAAGCATTCGTCCTCGTGCAATCACATACACTAAATAAAATGCCAAACAAATTCAAGCCATTCAAAAATTTCCCTCGTCTACTCTAATTAGCGACTATTGTTGGGTTGAAGTAAATAACACAATATTTCTCAATGTGTACAAAGCCCCCCTGTCATAGTCTAAGCATAGGCACTTGGGTAACCTTATGGTCAGAGGTAGTTTCTATCAATCTATGGTGAACTACAGATTGAAAAGAATAATAATAGCTATTATATACATGATTATTACTCCAGCCAATGACACAGCTTTCTATATGTATATCCGTATACCCGTATATCCGCACATCCATATATTCGTTCTCCTATTCCCCCTTGAGTCTCATTCTCGGAGGTTTCACAATCTTGATATTGCTACTTATAAGCCCCTACTTTCGAGAATAAGCTCCAAATTATTTGACGCTAAGCCTGCGTTAGACAGCGCAGACTATAGGCAATTTCCGGCTTACCACCCGTCACACCCCCACGATCCAAAGGCAGTTAGACCC